TCTCCAAGGAATTAAGTGGACGATAAATTAAATTGAATTGTCGTTTTCACTATTAAAACAATATATTATTATGGTGTTTTTAGTGAGTATTAAATTTATTTTTGTTTYATTAATTATGAAACTGGTTGGTTTTTATAGTCCTGCCCCAGTAATGCTCGTAAGTGAATAAACTATATTTTATTCTGGATAAACGAGTAAAAGACAACCGTTAACGGCTCAATTTATTAAGTACGCATATTTAATTGCGCGTCTCTCGTAAACGATTATGGAAGTCTTCTTCGTTTTATGAGACAAWTGCAATGATAATAGTTGTACCTATATATACGGACAATTAATGGGCAGTATAAGCGAACACGCATTAAAATTGGTCGGTTAATCGCAAAAAAACTATTTTGGAAACCGTTCGTGTAAGCACGCTGGTCAACTTCTGCGTTGATAATTATTAAGAACAGAATATGAAAACTTTTAACGGGATWTCTAATATATCTATGAAGAGAATAAGAGATCATTGACCAAAGGGGTAAAAACACAATTAAAATAAGAACGATTAAACGTCGAAACAACTGAAACTGTATGGTAAAATCTTTAAAAATAAAAATAAACTTACATTTCGACTTGCTCCAATACACTCACGCCTATAAAAAAATATATATATTTTAAGAGATTCGACTATTTATTGCCCTTATTCAAATAATATCAAAAGTATAGTTAACATCAAAATAGTTACTAGCTCCAWTATAATACAACCGTAAAACATAATAATATTATTGTATTATATGATTACGACGTATTGAAATTCGATTTCAAAATGTGTGCGGGACCGAGTGAGGTATAAATAAAATATTCTTAGCGTCCAAGTTCAAGAACGGGTTTGATCGCGAAACGCCAAAGCTATTACGTGCACTTTATATACATAGCGTGCAACAGTCGGGCAACATAGGTGTAATATGTTTATGTACATGTTTAAACGTTAGCGGCGTGCCCTCGAAAGCTGACACGCGCCTGTTTGCACTACACCAGTGTCAAGGTCTAAATTTCCGCATATTATATATATAAGTATATAAATCTATAATATAATACGGTGTGCAATGCTTGTAACTACAGCAACTATATATGTTATCATATATTATATAGGTATCTACAATGTGTACACAACGTCGTCGGTGGCCGGAGGGCGACTAATTTATAGTGAAAAAAATTTGCGTCGATCGGATCAATATTATACATATTATCATAATAATATAATATTATTGTAAACGCAAACAGATGTTGGGTATATTCGCTGAAATATTATGAATAATATATTTATACATACAGATACCGAATGTTACGATATTGTGTGTACATTCTATATAGCAAGGGTGGCGAACATTTTTTAGGTCTAATGCCAAATTTTTGCAATCAAAAGTTTGACAATTTTTCGCGTACTCGAAGATTGTGAACACTAAATAGAACATAATAAATATAGTTACATAATCAATTTTACATAGAAACATTATAATTTTAAAAATATTTATAGTTTGTTTCTTTGAAATTTTTAGAAGCAACATTTTATAAATGCCTATCATAATTTTTCACAATTTCAATTTTTTGCGTGTCATTAAAATTTTATAAACGCGCCACTTTTGGCACGCGTGCTGTAGGTTCACCACCCCTGCTAGGCCTGCTATATAGGTACAATACGTCAATAAACACACATACACACAAATGTATATGTATAACATAAGTATATACTTACAAGTTATTTTAAGTTAAACTCWTGAATTATATAGAACTAATAATAATATACGATAAAATATAAATGTTGGCGCGCCGCGTAACATTCCGACTTGTCAACTATACACGGGTTGCAGGCACGCGCCCATAAGGCCATAACATAATAATAATAACATAACGTTGCCCAATAAATAGCAATAAGAAATAAAAAACAATAACACCTGGTGTAAAAATAGCCGCAATGTTCCGAACGTATCATACTATATTATATATTTATTCATTATTGTACCTACGTATAATGTACATAATATATTTATTACATATAGGTAACTAATATATTATATATATGACAYTCAGGAAACGCGCCTATTATAATAAGACCTACGTATATGGATTTTTTTTTAATTTATTGAATCTATTATTACGTCAAATGTATATGCACGCACACATTTTTATGTCAATAACGCGTGTGATTTTGAAATATAATAAAATTATGAAGAAATAACCTTTAATAGCATTTAAGGCAGTATAGCAGCTGTCGTAGATGCAGTATTGCTATTACAGGTATCGGTGTGTCTGCTTCTTACAATATAACTTACATAAAATATATAAGTACAATGAAACCAATTTGAGACGCATGTATGACTTTATTAAAACGTAGTAATGAGCATATAATATCAATTTAATCAATATACCGCAAACTTACGTATGCTAAATCTAGATGGTTGTTGAAAAAAAAAAAACTCTTATAATCACGACGGTATGCAGCAACATCGTGTAAATATATAATATTAATCGGGACAGTACCTGTAGGTTATATTATGTAGATACATAATTCTACGTAATATATTATTATAATTTATAAGTTACAACGTATAAAGATAAATTAAAATGAATATTTAAAGATCATATTGAAATGAACAATATTTTTTCTCGCTACCTACCTACATTTAATAAATGTAATAATACAGTTTATAATATAGTTTCCACCGTAATAMATACCTAAATACCTATTTGTTATGATTAAATACAATTTAAAAAYGTCGTTTTTATTTATGCGTGTGTATGAATAATAATATTTCAAAAAAACAACTAAATATAGTATCATAAGAGCCTCAAGGGCGTCAGAATAATTTTTCATAACGTGTGGTTAAACCTATTAATTGTTGATTTTTTAAATAGATAAATATTATAATATAGATATGTATATAAATGTATGTATGCAAAACACAAATATTCAGAAACCATATGGCTCTCTACTATATGAATAGTTTAATTTGTCGATACTGTTCAGTTATAAGAACATTATTRCATAATTCATTTGTATTTAACTAGTCTTCACAAAAAGTACAATTGTATCGAAATCTCCGAGCGAATATAATTTTGATAAATCTTATACTCATAGCTTTTGTTACCTGGCGATATAGTAACATGATAACGTTAACGATTGCTAATATCACTGTTGTCTATAACCTAACCACCACCTATTTTATGCGACAACATATGTAGGGTACGTGCCTAAATTGACAGCATCAATTTATCATCTATAACTGCAGCAGCAGCGATACGCCGATCGCACGTGGTGGATACCTATAGTACAGATACACGCTGCACACAAACGAGTGCAGAACGGTGCACTCGTCTCCCATTATATATTTATATATTAAATATTTATATGTGACGCTGCAAATGATATTTTAAAAGATATTCTAATATTCTAATATCATATTATGCATATTATGTTGTTGTAGTTGTCTGTATATCTATAACCGACTTATATCCCGTAAACTGAACGTCAATAATAATAAAAAAAAAATAATAAATTAATACGACCAAAACGTGTGTTATTATAATTCCATCAAAGTCCGGTAGCCGATACCACGCACGTCCAAAAGTGCATCTCTCGCTATCTCTCTTTCTCTATCAAGCATCGGGCGATGCAGCTCGAGCTACTGTTGCCGCCGCCGCAATAATAATATAAAAACGACGGCGGTGGCGACGTGGATCAGCTAGGTATCGTATCACTTCGGGGCAGCCCCGAAGCACTGACACTCACACACACACATATATAATATTATATTTAGTACGTGTACCAAGTACCTACCTACCTACCGTCTATACCAGTCTACCTAATACCTTCCCACCTACGTTATATTTATGTGTGTGTGTGTGTGTGTGTGTACGTTTAGTGGAGTCTGTACTTTTGTAGAAGACGCGCGTTTGTGTATGTGCGATGGGAGGCAAAAACACGAATTCCATTAACGCGCAGGATTAAAGAGATATATAAAAAAAAACATCGGATCCCGAAATCCCGTCCATCCGGCGACCACGACGAAGACGATCGCCTACCTGGACAACGTAGCACAGTATACATATGTAGGTGCCTTATAAGTATATACTATATTATATGCGTGTAGCGACCGTCAGAGTCGACGATAAGTAAAAAGTAAAAAAAAAAAATGATAATAATGATCGTAATAAAAATACCGATTGCCCTGGGCATATGATCCTCTGACATAATGAAAATCTTTCTATACCACCTACAGTATATACAGGGGCAATATTTGTCCTAATGTTAGTACAGGTGCAATAGGTGCATATTATTAATAATATTATATTATATATCTGACGACAGTGATGACYATCTCACAAAAGTGGCGTGTATGAAAATATATGAACATCATGTTTTTGTAAGACTGCTGTAGGTATGTAATAAATATTTTTTCTGTTAAAAGCTCAATAAATAAAAATAATAGTAACTCATAATGTAACGTTATAGTTTTACCACAATCTAAGCGAGTATAGAAAGGCTGTACAATTTAAAACAGTTTTTTACTTTAAAAATTATTAAAATTATTATTACGGATACATCGGCTGCGAATCTCATTAAAAATAAAATCACTCGTACTTAAAATCTGGGTGCGACAAAACGGTTTATTTATGTATGGACAGTTGTAATATATTTATGGGATTCGTAAATTATAAATCCTATTGAAGATCGATTACTATTATTATCGATTTAAACTYTGTGAAAACATCTTAAGTGTGCATTTAACGTAGATATTATACACTATTTTATTACCGTAGTTGTATATTTCTTAATATTATTATATTGGTGTATTTATATTGTATAATAATATTATATTATACACATCACCTATTTACCTACGCATGATAATAAACATATACATCTATAGGTACATTTTATGTGAMAAAAGTGACTAAACTATATTATATAAATAGGCACTGAAATGTGTAATAAAAATAAACTACAACTCACTTACCRGTGTGCAGGAACAAGTGATTTTTCAAATTCGTGTGTTTGCTGAATCCTCTGTTACAAATGTGACACTTGAAAGGCCACGATCCGTTGTGCACGTACATGTGAGATTTCAGATCGCCTGGTGTCGGGAACGACTTGGCGCACAGTGTGCACTTGTGCGGTTTTTCCTGCAAACAAACATACAACATTTTTAATAACAATATTTATATTGTATGATAACGTATCGATTTAACCAGCCGCACGTATATACAATTATTTATCCTATTTTTTCTACACGTATAATAATATATTATACTACTATTATTATTATATTACGCTGGGTATAAAGTCCACGTCGCGCCGGGCGGTGTTTCGGTCGTTTATGGACGATTTTAATTGAGTTTTCAACGAGGACGTTAAATACGAAATAACCGTTTTCTACCGTCTGGGTCATAAAAACCGATCGCCGCTGCCGACCACTATACATTATTATTATACTGGTATATATTGTGCGATTTATTATTTTAACATAATCATCATACGTCGATTTCGAATCGTAAACACCGGCCACCGGACTTTGGGTTGGGCACATTATTATCATATAATAATGTCATGGGTGTAATAATTGTAATTGATCCGTGGAAAAAAAAACAACGATAAAAATTCTAAAAACCATCAACGACGCGCATAGTATTTGATACGAATAATATAATAATGTAATACCAAGGTATGTGATTCACTGCAAGGAAAGATGACGACGACGACGACGAGACGTATTGGTATATTACTATAGGTACCATCGTCCGCAGGCGCCGCGGTCATTCCTGCAGCAGATTCCGGCCAATAATAATAAATAATAAATAATAAATAATATTACTTTTATACACATTACGCGCACACCTATCGTATAAAAACCATAACGGCGGTCGCGGTTTATGTTCGGGCATCATAACGCTCGTTGTAATATACAGTGTTCACTGTTTATATAGATATATACTGCAAGCAGGTTCGGTTTGTTCCGAAATGATTTATTTTATGGTCTCGCGGGTAAAATAATCTATTAAAATGTATATGATAGGTATACTATATAATAYAGCTGGGTATACATCGTTCTGCACTTTTGCGTATTGCGAGTCTCACATTACAGTCGATTGCGCATAAAACATATATATATAGATACAATAATATACGTTATATACTGCTATAATATAATAATAATAATAATAATAATATTAAGTGTTTCGGTGCATTTATGTGGACATAATATAAATACGTCACGGTAAACCTTTTGGATTAGTCACATGCATTTTTCGTTACGTTCTTACGATTAAAAATTAAGATTCATCAAAATAATTTACAATATTTTATCAATTGTATATTGAACGTCAATGATCATATTTTATTTTTGTGTTGAGGCTATAAAAGACTCAAAATAATATTATACTTAGGTAATGGGAAATCTACAAATGTGAGAACAAATAATGCCAAAAAAGGCGACTCGAACCTAGCAATCGCTGTATACGATAGAGATTTCAAGAGAGGGAGGGTAAACTTAATCACAACATTTTTAGCAAAACTTAGCTGCAGGTTTCAATCTCAAAAAGGGCCTCAAGTGGCAACCAAAAGATTTCAACRCGTTTTCGCCCTCGTATCATACTCTGAAAACCTGCGTCAGATTGTCACTGACAATTATTTTGGAGCAGATCGTCAGTCGTCATGTGGGCATAAGACACGCGTACGTGCACACACCGCGAAATGATCGCCAAGTAATTATTTATATTTTGTACTCTCAACCCACATAATATTATTATGTATAATCGGTGGACAAGTGTAATTTTTTTTTCTTCAACTACAGAGCACCTGTTTATACCGGTCATCGTTGTATAGATAATAATATTACGTAYCTAAACTCTTCGTGAATACAAGTGAAAAAACAAAATTTCAGGCACAGCCCGCGGCATAAAATACATCACATAATATCGGATACATAAACATAGGTATAGGTACCTAATAGATATTATATTCGAACACGCGCGGTTCCTGCGGTCACTGTACTAAATTATACCACGCGCAGACATTTTTCGACCGCGATAAACGCTAAACGTATACCATCAGAAAACAGACGAGCCGCAGACGAAAACCCGAACATGATCTAAACGGCACGTTATTATTATTATTATTATTATTTACATAGGTATATATTATTTTATTATTACGAGTATAATATATACAGTGCACTCGCGGCAGCTAGGAATAGGTTATATTTACGAAGCGACAGAGACMTATAATATTCGGCTGGCGGTCARGAAGCGCGCGCTCGCCCGGAGACGGTGAAAAAGTCTTTTCGGGAGGAGTCGGGAGGTCGGCCGGGGTGCWGGAGAGAGGAGGAGAGGACAGCTAAATCGGCACCTGTTCGGCGCACGCCAAGGTCGCCCGAGAGGTACGCACGACACGCGGACCCGTTGGCCGCGCAGAAGCAGCAGCAGCCGGCGTCGATGCACCGGTCAACCGGCGTAGGGGAGTCTGCGGGCGAAACGTCGCGGGCACACTTGCGTGTTTCCATCGCCGCGTACCGGTTTCCGTGTGCGGCACGCGGAGCGAATATTATAATATTTATATTATTATTATTCCGACACGCGGGTAATATACATAATATTATATAATACAGGTACGCGTATACAGTCGATATGTGCAACGCGTTAAACACACACATTAATATAATAATGATCACGACGAGAGAATCCCAAGAAAAAAAAATATCGATATTATATTATATATTATATTTTTTTAATATTTCACTCGTGAGTACCAGCTGTGGGATGTGACCAAAGGAAATCACTCAATCGCTTCGGGAGTGCTTTCCACGACGGCCTTATAACATTACGCGTACATTAAATTATATTATATTATTCATCGGACGGAAGTTTATCATGTTTTATTCGTCTCTCTACATTCGYGGTTGTCGTGAGCTCTGCGCACGTCGGCCAAGACCAATCTCAAATAATCAGACATTTCGATCGACTGTAATATAGGTAGCATATACCTGCAATACCTGCAATATCTATAGGTATAATATTATATTATTAAATCTACACGTTTCCCCACTATTTCGTGCTGCACGCGATCCACTCGTGTATATTACGGATATATACGACGAATAGAACACGACTGTGTTGTGTAGGGTATGGGTATCATATTTACAGTTCGCGTGAACCACCCGACCAAACCGGCTGCCGTCCATTGATGACGATGGATATCGCCGGGCTACTGGAGGCTTAAGTAAATTGTGCATCATAGTATATATATATATATATATATATATTATATATATATTATATATGTATATGTATGTATTACAGGATGAGGTACCTATACACATGGCTTGATGTTTATTACATGTTTTATACGGACGAGGGAAAAAAACCGACTTCTCGATTGATTCGGGGTCTGAATGGTACATGGTGAGGTATACCGTGCTATAAATTATATAAATTACTATGTATAATGTGAACATTATACGCGGACAGACAGAACCGTACATGCTAAGACACTGTTGCAGCAATAGACTCAGCCATCGTTAAAGTCTCCGGGTCTGGTTTTTTGATATTTTTTTCGCCCAACAATACAATGACGCATTTTTTTCTTCTTTTTTTTTTCAACTAATGAGGAGTACCCGTTAGTAGGTATATATAGGTACCACTAATACCGATTGTTTTCCAACGATACGACTATACCAGATGTCGAGTCGATGGTCCAATATTGTCTGCTGCAAGATTTTGTCAATGTCGGGAAATAATGTATAGGTATTAAAGTTTTCTATATGTTATTGTATAAATATATAAATATAATATATAACTACAACATCAATATATTTCAATACCTTTTGTATGTATAGATATTTGTACAGGATAACGACGAAGCTTGTTTAATTAATATATTATAAATTAAAGATGCATGCGTTATTATCCATATTATACAATATATATATATTATCGCTGATCGTTATTCACGTTGTATTATATTTGCGACGGATGATTCTAATCGGAGCTCATCRTGAGCGGCTAAACGTCCTGTTTCAGTAGATAATAGATATAATATAATATTAAAAATCACGTATTTTCGTTGTAAGGTTATATTATAGGTTATAATATTTATAGCATCCAGTCGAAAACGACGTCCATTATTTTTGACACGAAAGAATATATTATATATAATATACAACGGAATCAAAATATATTTTATCAGTGAACATTCTTATTATACCTATTTACGTTTGTATAAATTATATTGTATATTTATATATTACTAGTATATGTACATATACATTGTAAACACTTTAATAACAGTTTCTCGTCGCACCACACCGGTGACGTTGGGAAATAATTTACTATGATATAATAGCTAGGTATATAGGTATTTATATTTTATATGCTATATCTACCTAGCTTCCGTGTGTTTGCATTTGTGCGTGTATAAATAAGATAATGTACCAATGTATAGTTATTTAAAAGCGTTTTTAATATACATTCGAATAGGTGCGCATCATCATCTTCGTCATCATTATCATGATCATATAATCATCATCATCATCATCATAATTATCCATATGGGACGCTTGTAATTTGATTGAAACAGACGTAACTTGAGGGAATTGGGTGTGGAGTGATGTCGGGCGCATTTGGTCCTAATGGATGTCTGACCCAAATACTGTTTGACGGGACCCCGCGTGTATAATATTATTATTGTACGTACCTATAAATAATATATATATTATATAGCAATCCCGGTCGCTTTCAAGCATAACGGACTGCCGCCGGTTAATGAAGAAAACGCGYGGGGATGAGACGATATAGCTGAATATAATACGTTCTTATAACAATATATACACTGGCATATAATATGTATATTATTATTATTATTATTATATGAGAGGTAAACACGACGTTCTTATAATATGAATATAGTACTATACCGACGACGACTGTCGGAACGAATCGTAAGGGTACGCCACCTGTCCGCCGCGCGCCATCGCCGACTCTTCCCGTCCACATAGCAACACAAGGCGAATACCTACGTAGGTTAGTATAATATTATATATACGTATATGCACTTTTATACTATAATAATAATTTAATAATTGTGACTTGCCCGGTAATTATTCGATCAATATAACGTTACATATATGTAT